TAGCATGGATGACTATAAGAAATAATATATCTACTAATCTAACCAAAAAACATCTATGTGGCCAAATCTAGTTAGATTAATAGATTTTTTTTTTTTTTGATATTCAATCAATTGAGTGAAGATATCTAGTCAGTACAACGACGCCAAAAATTAAGACTTTGCGAGCAGCCAGTAAAACTGTACCGCGGGCAAAATATATTAGAGAGGATATATAATAATCACCATCTTATGCTTTTGGTATCGAGCTCCTAAAACAGTCTCACATCTCTTATTTCACTGCACGTTTGCGAAACAAGTATGGGAACATTCTCCATTTAGTGTTATCATTCATATTCCAAAATCTAATGGCTTTGAGGAGTTATGGAGAAAGGTAAGAAAGGTAGAATGTCTACCTCCATTGGATGTTGGTAGAGGACCCTTATAAGGGGTAATTACCACTTTAGATCTATTGAAATTTGTGGATATCTAGGAACAACAAGGTCTCTAGTGATAAATAACCTTTTACTATAATGATTTCGATTTAGGAACTATGTCTAGTTTAGTTTTTATATAAATTATTGTAACTTGTAACTTTATTCTTATACGAATCTAATAGATTTTTTCTTAAACACCTTTGTGACATCAGAAATCTCATCAAGGCCGACAATCGTTAGGAAAGTTCAATCGCATATAATCTAAATGAACATTATGGTCACCGAGCATGTTTGCCCATCTCCAAATCTGTTGTTTACTCTTGCACTCGAAAAATATGTGCTTTACACAAAAAGGTCTAATATGCATCACCTAAACCAAGCCTCGTTAAGGTCAAATAAAATCATGTAAATGTCAATTGGTATAATAGTTTTGCAATTAAGATTCACCATTATCTTTACGAAAAGATCTGATTTTTTTTCTTTTATTCCAAAAATGACGTTCGTTCGTTCGTTTTTTTCTTTTTCTTTTCCGAAACTCATGCGGGCATTTTGAAATTTCTACGTTGCCTATATTTTCGGCTAATTAATGATTTTCTAAAAAAAACACTCCATTTCTTTCTAAAACTGTAAATAGAAAATGTCACGATGTCAAGTGAAATTCGTGAATTTAAAAAGCGTAAACAATGGCAATTTAGTCATTTTCGAGTCTCCTCCTGGTTCTCCGTAACTGTCTCAAAATTAATAGAGCCTTTGACTGTTTTCTGACG